ATGTGTCATGCATAAATGTATGTGTTCAGATAAACAGCTTCCAATTCCATCACCATAGGAAACAATTGGAGGAAGACATGATTATTTCAGTTGATTCTATATTTTGTCATCCCACCTCAGCGATGTCTCATGTTAGGATTCTATGATTTTTTATGAGATGGGTTGGGCTGAGAGAGAATGACTGGCTCAAATTGTTGTCAGCAAAAATGAGCAGGGAAGAATACTCTGTATGTTTGCCACCTTGAGTTGCATAAGAAAAAAAGGTTGGGATAAAAATCCCCCCCCAAAAAGGACAATTTGCAGCAAGGGAAAAAAGATGTGTTGAAAAAAAAGTTCAACACACACAACCTAAAACAGCCCATTTTAGCTAAGATGTCGTAGTCCAATCTTTCAGACATTGCTTCTAGGCCTCTCAGATAAGGTCAAGTGTAGTGTAACAGTTTTACTCCAAACATGATCATATAATTGTCACACTTGAGAAAAGTTTCAAGAACAAAAGCTTGACTTTATCTGAGGAAAGGGAACATCTAGAAGTCCCCTATTACAGTATTGATGAGTAAATTGTCCAGCACAATAACAAAGCATAGGAGTATCCATCCATGACCTAAACCAGGACAAGTCTAGAATGACCTCACTCTGACCAATAGCCTCATACCCTACTGTTGTTCTGTCACCTTTTATTCTGATAGGCAGTTCCACAACTACATACAATATATTATTAGCCTTGCATATCCTTGCAGAGCCATGGTGGAGCAGCGGTTAGAATGTAGTACTGCAGGCTACTTCTGCTGACTGTGGCTGCCAGCAGGTTGGCAGTTTGGTTCTCACTGGCTCAAGGTTGACTCAGCCTTCCATCCTTCCAAGGTCGGTAAAATGAGGACGCAGATTGTTGGGGGCAATATGCTGACTCTGTAAACTGCTTAGAGAGGGCTGTAAAGCACTGTGAAGCGGTATATAACTCTAAGTGGTATTGCTATCTTGAAATAGCAACTCTCCCCACTTGATTCTCATTACAAAAGGGCAACAGATGGTGAAAACATGCAAAGAGAGACAACTTTGTGATGTAAGAATGAATAAAAAGTTTGGGGAAATGTTTTATTATCACTTAACATTTTCAGATTTTGGCGTTAGAGTAAAGGAAGAAGGGATAAAATAAGGAAGACCTGGAAAGCCCAATTCATGAGACAAGAGTTGTGAGTTAGGATTTCTCTTTCACGGATGACTACCTATTTCTACACGATGGGTAACAAATATAAACACGACGGATTATTTCAATGACGCGACCGATATTATATTCGTTTTATAACTAGACCTGTTACGTCGTCAACGTAGGTAAAGAATTTATGATTCATAATACTTTACAGACGTAAGACTCAAACACGGATATTATTTTACACAAAATGAATAACATTTTTCTATTTCAAGTAAAGCAACAGAAGCAGCAAAGTAGAATAAAAATTTCAAAGAAAGCATTATGTTCCACAAAAATCAAAGATAACAGGAAGCAGTCATGTAATTGTAATGTATTTAATTACAGATTATACAAACTTGTAATTGTCATATCTCTATATGCTTCCCACTATCTTTCATAAAGAAAATCACATACTTTTCTTCTCAACATTATTAGTGGAATCTTATATAGATAACTAAAAAATTCTCACTGAGCTAAATACTTGTTTCCAAGGAAGCTTGAATAGGACTGCAAGCTGTTCTTTTCTAAATCATCAATTATGAAAGCTTCTCTGAATCAGATTGCAGGTAGCCCTCAACCTACAACCATTCATTTATTGACTGTTCAAAGTTATACTGGTACCAAAAATGTGACTTACAATCAGTCCTAGACCAACACAGTGTCCCCATGGTTATGGGATCAAAATTTGGTTGCTTGACATCCAGTATATATTTAAGTGGTTGCAGAGTTCTGGAGTCATGTGATTGTCACTTACAACCTTTCCAGCGGGCTTCTGGCAAACAAAGTCAATGGGGAAAGCCAAATTCTCTTAAAGACAGCATGATTCACATAACCCCAGAGATTTGCTTAACAACCATGTCAAAAAAGGCTGTTAATTTGTGTGTGACCCACTTAACAACTGCTTTCCTTAACAAATGCTGTGTAAGACTACCTGTACTTGTCGGATGCACAATTTAACTACACATACAAGACACATTCCATTCATTATTTTGCCAAATGATTATGTGGCATTACACACACACAAAAAAAACTAATCAAGGAATAAGACAGTAAAATAATATACTGTAATATACCTTTCTATATATCCTGTAGGTGTTCCCACCAAGCCATCAAGCCTTTCCTGGAGGGCTGCAAGAATCTGAGGATTCTGCATCATTTGTACAGTTAGTTGGCGTGCTGAACAAAACAGAACAGATTTTTAAAAAATCTTATAAAATATTGTTACCCTTGTTATCTTTTTTTAATAAATAACACAAAATAAATAATTGTCCCCTCTCTATATGCTCACTGATTTAAGGTAATTAGATAAGATACAACACTATATTCATTGCTAGACAATAATAGCAAAAGAAATTACTCATGTAAAGCCTCTTAAACTTTGCAGGCTAGTTGAAAAGATAAACATGTATAAATATTATTACAATATTTCATTTTCAGGTTATGTAAAGTGCAAAAAGTTAGAAATATTAACAAAAATAAATTAGGGCATGTGTTTAAAGATAAGAAAACATTGTTAGAATTCATTTATACTCTCACTATTCATTATACTTCTTCTACTCTTCTAAAAGCATTCCAGCTTCTACCACTTCTAAATGCCTCTTCATCCCATAACTTTTCTCAATTCTCTTTCTGATGAACTCATAAATCCCATCTGATCACAACTTTCTTAGTTTTCTCTTCTTCTCTATCTAATCATTTGTCCTTCATCTATTTGGGTTTATCATTTAGTACTTACATTCTCACTATACGACCCAATCACTTCAACGTATTTTAGTATTGGTCACACATTTTTAAATTCAATCAATATTCATACTGCATTCATTATTGGACTTAATTCTCCTTTCTAACAGAATAACAAAAAATGCATTTCAAACAAGTTATAAATTGATTTTGCATTTTAATGAGTGAAATAAGTATTTGACCCCTTTGCAAAACATGACTTAGTACTTGGTGGCAAAACCCTTTTTGGCAATCACAGAGGTCAAACGTTTCTTGTAGTTGGCAACCAGGTTTGCACACATCTCAGGAGGGATTTTGTCCCACTCCTCTTTGCAGATCCTCTCCAAGTCATTAAGGTTTCGAGGCTGACATTTGGCAGCTCGAACCTTCAGCTCCCTCTACAGATTTTCTTTGGGATTAAGGTCTGGAGACTGGCTAGGCCACTCCAGGACCTTAATGTGCTTCTTCCTGAGCCACTCCTTTGTTGCCTTGGCCATGTGTTTTGGGTCATTGCCCTACTGGAATACCATCCACAACCCATTTTCAATGCCCTGACTGAGGGAAGAAGGTTCTCACCCAAGATATGGTACATGGCCCCGTCCATCATCGTTTTGATGGGATGAAGTTGTCCTGTCCCCTTAGCAGAAAAACACCCCCAAAGCATAATGTTTCCACCTCCATGTTTGACGGCGGGGATGGTATTCTTGGGATCATAGGCAGCATTCCTCCTCCTCCTCCAAACACGGCAAGTTGAGTTGATGCCAAAGAACTCGATTTTGGTCTCACCTGACCACAACACTTTCACCCAGTTCTCCTCTGAATCATTCAGATGTTCATTGGCAAACTTCAAACGAGCCTGTACATGTGTTTTATTGAGCAGGGGGACCTTGCAGGCACTGCAGGATTTCAGTCCTTCACGGTGTAGTGTGTTACCAATTGTTTTGTTGGTGACTATGGTCCCAGCTGCCTTGAGATCATTGACAAGATCCTCCCGTTCTAGGCAGATTCCTCACCATTCTCATGATCATTGAAACTCCGTGAGGTGAGATCTTGCATGGAGCCCCAGACCGAGGGAGATTGACAGTTATTTTGTGTTTCTTTGCTGATTGATAGGGGAACAAATACTTATTTCACTCATTAAAATGAAAATCAATTTATAACTTTTTTGAAATGCTTTTTTCTGGATTTTATTGTTGTTATTCTGTCTGTCACTGTTAAAATAAACCTACCATTAAAATTATAGACTTATCATTTCTTTGTCAGTGGGCAAATGTACAAAATTAGCAGGGGATCAAATACTTTATTCCCCTCACTGTATATAGATCCAAAACCTTTTTACCAGCATTTGCACATCCTGAAACTTCTCCCATGCTTAAATAAATATTTTACCAACATGCACTAATACATCTATACGCTTTTCAAAAACCTAAAAAGTTTTCAACAGTTTTATATAATTTGGAATTATTTAGTCCACTTCCCTGTTAAACAACAACTACGTGTTCTTTGGTACATTATATTTTACAGCTATATTCCTTGTTGCATCATACAACGTAACATTTGCTGCAACCTATTCAAATTCTCACCCAATATTGTTTTACCTACAAATAAATGTTTACAGATTCACATCCTCTACCAATTTCACAAGCATTCCTTATACATTTGTGCATAAATATATAATCAAGGGAGCATTATATATTCTTTTCTTACTCCCTCTATTATTAATTTGCTAAGCACTCCATTTATTCTCACACATACTTCATTTATTCCATAAACACTCTTACAGCTTACAGCAACTGGAGCTCCATATCTGTAGAAAGCATTCCACAATTCAACTTGTCATTATTTTACGCTATCTCTGAATCAACATCCATACAATAAAACTTTCATCCCACATAAATTTCTTAATGACCTGCTGCAGAATAGAAATCTAATCTTTATTACTTTTGTCCTGCAGAGCATATTGGACTTTCAAAATTTTGCTTACTGTTAACTTCTATATTTCAATCAGAAATCTGAGAAACGTGTTCCCCAGTCACTACCTTACCTTCTATAATTTTTGCACTTAAGCTTGCTTCTTTTGTCAAGGGAAACAATGGCATTCCCCTAACAACTGGACACAGATGCGGTCTTCATATCCATAAAGCCACCCCAAAAGCAAACTAAATCTACAAAGTACTGTATATTTATGAGAAATTTTGCATTTAAATTTAGTGTATGTTCATTTTGAAGATTGAAATCCTATGTGTTTTGACACTAAAATAAAGTCCACTCTATTCAGTGGAGCTTTAATGATATGTGGGAATGACCCTGGGAGATAGGGCAAGAGACACAGCCAAGAGAATGGTCAGATAAAAGACAACTCTGCCCACAGCATAAACAGGGGTTGGGAAAGAGCTTATTTAGAAGTAAAACATATAGGCTGCAATAGAAAACCTCTTAATAAAAAAGTACTTTTCATAAATATTAATTAGTAGATATTTGTGACCTAAAAGGTAAATATTGCATTTACCAAGGTATTGTTCCCGCCCACATCACTAATAAGTGTTTACATTATTAGGCCTCATATTATATTTGAAAATGTGCATTTATAGTACTCACAAACAACTTAATAATCTCATGTTCGTTTCTGTCCTTACCTTTACTGTTAGCATCCTCACCAGATTCTTCTTCTTCTACTTCTTCAACATCTTCCATATCTTGCTGGTCAAGCTCAGCCTGTTCTTTGCTATCCAAAGCAAGCGTTTTCAATTTGTTATCCAGATATTTATTTTTTCTTAAAAGTTAACACTTCAAATACATGCTATCAACATGCTGATCAAAATATGTGCAGAAATTAAAGTCTTTCAAATAAATTTACTTAATGCAAAAATCATCAGATTTTCTTCATTCAGCATTCTGCTTCAACATTAAGAACCAACAATGGCAAAAGTGGAAAATATCCCTGTTCTACTTATGAAACTCTAGGATAATGTCTTTCAGTTTAGAATACCGAGAATATTTCAGGGACAGTGTATAGTATATCTTGTTTTGTGATAAGCTTCTGCAATTAAAATAATATGTATGTGATCATTTACAAAACAATTGTATTTTTAAAAATTAAAATATATAAATATTAATAAAGAGACACTACTCAAGCTCTTTGGTGCTAGAGGAATCAATTTATCTGTCCTGCAAAAAGATCACATGATGCAAATTTACATTATACTGCAATACACATGAAGACCAAACTTCTCAGCACTATAGCTACATAAAGAATCTAAGTGCCAAAAATGATAGATGTTACTGGAATTTGGTTTTGTAAGGCTTCACATTGATTTTTATTGTTCTGATGGATTACATAAAGAAATATAACTTGTATACATTGCTTGCAGTACAAGGCTCATTTAAATATTTAGCATCATTTCCAGTTATTGTAACTGCACTTTTCCCCTTTCCATTTATATTCTTCAAATGTACATTGTCTTGCCTTTGGCACACAAAACACTATAACTGACATTTTTAAGAATAAGTAAGACAACATTGTCGTTCCAATTTAGCATTATTGTTCAGAATGAAGAGCAGGTCCGGTCAAGCATAAAGCTACTGATTTCAGAACAGAATTTTTAAAATTTATATAAGAACATGAATTTGACACTCAAGTTTTCATTGGAACAGAACATAAGACATGTCATGTTCATTACTCTGCACTTGGTATTTATAAGTCAACACAACAAGTACTGATATTTTATTGTATCCATATGTAACCTGAATTCTATTCTTTTATTCACTGTTCCATATTTATGTTGAATTCTTAAAGGGCAACAATCTTATCTTGTAGGTTGTATATTATTATCATTACTTAACTACGGCTAGCCAACAAGAATCCTTGGGATAAAACATTCTTTTAAGCAATTTTAACATTGTTATATGTAGATATTCTCAGGCACCATAAAATTAAATCATTGTTATGGTACCATTATTGGAAGAAATATAGAAAAATCTGTTTAAAAATCTATTTAGAATTGTACAAGTAGTCTTTGACTTACACCATTCCTTTAGTGACCGTTTAAAGATACAACAGCACTGAAAAAGCAACTTATGACTGTTCAGCATATGACCGTTGCAGTAGCCCCATGGTTACATGATCAAAATTTGAATGCTTGGCAACTGAGATGTATTTATGATAGCTGCACTGTCTTAGGTGATGTGATCACCATTTGTAACCTTCCCAGCTGGCTTTCAACAAGCAAAGTCAAGGGAAAAGCCAGATTCACTTAATGACCACAGGATTCACTTAACAACTGCAGTTATTTGCTTAACAACAAAGTGGCAAAAAGATCATACATTGTTGTTAAAATTATTAATAACTACCTTGCTTAGCAACGGAAATTTTGGGTTTAATTATGGATTTAAGTCTATATGTCCAAGAATAAAAACTCATTAATATTTCAAATATCTTTGAATTAATCAATGGAACAACCTGCCTCCAGAAGCGGTGAATGCTCCAACACTGGAAGTTTTTAAGAAGAGACTGGACAGCCATTTGTCCGAAATGGTGTAGGGTTCCTGCCAGAGCAG